GAACCGATTTGATTACGTTCACCCAGAACAAGCGCTTTACGTGATCAAGGATCGAGTGCAAAAACCTCTCGAGTCCATTGCGGAGTATCGAAACCGGTTCTATCGAATGTTTGTAAAGACTGAACGAGGGGAGCAAGTAGGGAGAGATCTGTTCATAGATGGACTCGCAGCCGAACAATAAGGGCGAAGCTGCGAAAGCAGTTTCCCCCCATCAATCATACATTACAGCAAATCATGGACGCTGCAGAAGACATGGAACGAAAGTTTGCGGCGAACTTCCTCGAAGGAGAGGACTATTCTAGGGAAGGAGATTCGTCCGAACTCATAAGGGCAAAAGCCGAATTGGCTGCGCTGCAAAACAAATTCGAAAACATGGGTTTTGTGTCGGGTCCTGTCACCTACACAGAACAGATAGCCCCTAAACGACCCGTTCCAAGTGAGATCCCGAGTGTCCCTGTCCCTGTAATACCAACGCCTATAAGAACGGCACCCCCACCCCCAGTCGAGACTCTCGTACGATCGAATGAATCCACTGCCATACTCGAGCAGACCAAAACCTTGGTTAGTCTAATTCAGGAAAGCAAAAAGGAGCAGCGAGAGCAAAATGCTCGGTTGGAGGCCATGATGAGGAACATGCGTCCCATTGCGGTGCGTGCCCCTCCGATTCAGCAAGGGTTAGCCCCGACCCCATCTCTTGGAGGAATCGCAAACAATCTGAACGTCTGTTATGCATGTCACCAACCTGGACATCTAGCCCGTGATTGCCCTCACAGGCCTCCGCAACAACGTGTCGGGGTCGCGCCGATGGTCGTGGCGCCCATCGCTAACGGACCAGGACGAGTCGGAGCTCTGAAGAAATAGAGGGTGGGGGAAGTGCTCTAGCCACCACGGAAGAGGCCGCCGAGCTAATCCCGTTAGATCGGTACGTATCACTTGGTTACCCCGGGCTTGGAATGATCGGAACGATCAGACCAGCACCAGAACAGAAAGAGGTGGCGGAGTGGCGACCTTCTCCAGGAGAGATGGAGTCCGGACGACCCACCTTCGTCACCGGGAAAATCGATGTGCTTAACATCGTTCGAGCCCTGGACCATCGGATTCCGCTCCCGATCGGTCATTTGCTTTCGATCTCGGAACAAGCTAATGAGCGAATGCTACAGCACTGCAAGGCGAATCGCTCGAACACCGAACGTAAAAGCCAAAAGCCCCTCGCCAGAAGAAAATGTGGCGGGCTCGTCGGATCCAATACGAGTAGGATTAATACAAAAAGACGATCATTTCCTACGGATTAAACCCATCCTGTGGAAATCTGTGGAATGCGATATTGAAATATGGGGAATTCCGTACAATGTAATCATCGACTCAGGAGCCGTTGTTTTGGCTATCTCGTTGAGAGTGGTCGAAAGGGCAGGTAGGAAAAACGATCTGATCATGCTTTCCCAGAAAGATCAGCTCGTTTCGGCTGAGGAAGAAAATATTAAAACAGTGGGAAGAATGACCAATGTCGCCTCTCGATTAGGAAAGGTGCATGCACTGGGAGATGTTGTTGTGCTAGATGTGAATACCTACGACGTTCTTTTCGGACTTCCTGCTCTAGTGGCGCTACGAGCAAACCTGGATTTTGAACGACGATCGATCGTCCTTCGAAATACAGGAGGAAAGCCCTATGCGGTGCCTATGAGACTAACCCTTCGTACCACCATCAACGCAGTCCCACGGTTTTCGCGGATGATGGCAGGGACTCTCCGCATGATCTCCTGGGATGAATCCGCAGATGGAAAGTCATCGACGAATGATGAGGACAACAGTGATGAGGATGACCCAGAGATCTCGAAGCTAGCACGATAGTGTGTTTACTACCCGCCACCCAGAACGATAGCAAGAACGATGCATCTGACCAGTAGGAACGTCCAAAGGACAAAGGCGATGATCTTGGGTGAACCCCTCGTGCAGATTTCGAGGATGGTCGACTCTTTGGAACCCCCTCAAACCTTGTACGAAGGGATCATCCCGCTTCTCTCCCGATACAGCGACAAAAAGCACTACTGCGACATTACAGATCTACCAAGGTCCCTTTTGACACTTGCCAAAGAAGTGCGATTGTTACGCTTAGGGGCGGAAGCAAGTTCTCTGGAACCCCCTGGGCGTCTCGAAGCAGAAACGGACGAACTGGGGATAAAGATCGCAACTAAGAACGTGCCTTGTGACGGGATTACCCCGGAAGGACATGTGGCAATCCACGAAGAAGATGCCCAGATGATGGCCACGGTGTTCTCCTGGCGATCGGATCACTCCTTCATTTCTGCACCCCCGCCCGATGTGGCGAAACCTGCACACACAAAACAAATAGATGTACGGATCTGGGATCAACTTTTTGAGTTACACGTGCCACAGTACGTACCCAATGAAATTCATCGGGTGATTGCAGACATTTTGACGGAATATCGGGGAGCGATTACCGTGACAGACACTGACATTAGCCTGTCGCTAGTTATTCAACACGAAATACAGACGGGAAATCACTCCCCGATCCGTTGTAAACCGTACCTATACTCCCTGATAGAACGCAGAAAGGCCCTCGAGCGAATTCGAGAATTTGAAGCCTGCGGATGGATTGAACCCGCCACCGGACCATGGTCAGTTCCCGTCGTACTAGTGCCAAAGAAAAACGGATCAATCCGCATATGCATCGATTATCGCAAGCTGAATGAGGTCACGATCAAAGATGTGTACCCCGTCCCCCGAATTGATGATTTGTTGGATGTGATTGACTGCGCTAAATATTTCAGCAAGTTTGATATTCGGCATGGCTTCCATCACATTCTAGTGAAGGAGGAAGATCGGCTGAAGACGACCTTCGTGTTGTTTGAAGGCACGTGGTAGTGGGTTCGGTGTCCGATGGGGATTTGCAACGCGCCTGCCACGTTTCAGCGAGCGATGAACATGACATTCCAGAACTTCGTCAACAAGACGCGGCTGACACAGGGGATCATCAACTTCTGCGTAATCGTATACATGGACGATATCCTTGTCTACTCAGAGACCTATCACGGGCACGCGCAACACATCGAGTAGACATTGGGAGCGCTGAGAGACACTGGGTTCAAGATCGCGCTCGAAAAGAGCGAATTTTTCCTTTCAGAAATTTCGTTCTTGGGCTATGTCGTGACACGTGGAGGACTCCGGCCGGACTCAAGAAAGGTTGCGGCGGTAAGAGAAGCCCCAGTTCCCATGTCGCTGACGCAGGTTCGAGCCTTCTTAGGGTTGGCATCGTACTATCGTCGCTTCATCAAGGGTTTCACCGCAATTGCACGGCCACTAACGAACCTGCTAAGGAAGGACCAGCCTCTCAGCTGGGACGCGGAGTGCCAATAGGCTTTCGCAACCCTCAAGGACGCTCTGGCGACGACCCTTATTTTGATTCGACCGGACCCCTCGAAACAGTTCATTCTACCCTCAAGGATGCTCTGGCGACGACCCTTATTTTGATTCGACTGGACCCCTCGAAACAATTCATTCTCATCACGGACTGGCAACCGGAAGCTATCTCCGCTATTTTAGCGTAGAAGGGGAACGATGGTCGTGAACACGTCATTGAATACGCGTCACGCACGGTACCGGACGAACGGAGGAATGACTCAACACCTTAAGGCGAATGCTATGTAGTGGTCTGGGGAATGCAACACTTCCATCCGTATCTCTACGGACAGAAGTTCCGCCTCGTAACAGACCATGAACCTTTGCTGGCGTTGAAGAAACTCACTAATTACACGGGCATGATTGGTAGTTGGGCGGTGCGACTACAGGAGTGTGACTTCGATATCGTTCATCGAAAGACAGAACGACACGGCAATGCAGACGGACTGACACGTCTGCATCGACTTGCCAAAGTGCCGAATGGCGAGGAAATTACACCGTGGAAGGAGACGGACTTGACAAATGAGCCTAAGTACGGACAAGTGGCAGTTCTCCCGCGTGGCAAGAAGCAGAACGGTGGCAATGGATGACGGACTGTGTATCTTTTTAACGGAGAACGCGAAAAATTGAACGCGCGTTCATCCGTTTAACGGGCCCCCGACCCCCGCTAAATCGCGTTAAACGCAAAAACGGGGGTGTCGCGTCGAATTTCGAAAAACGAAATTCACGCGTTGGGCTTCAGACACGTGTACCTACGTGCCCGAACACTCAAACCAGAAAAGAAAAAAAAAATTGGCCGCCATAACCCCCCCCCCCACACACATTCCCCCGGGGGCCCCAATCTCCCCAAAAACGACATTTTCACCCCAAACACACCTCTGACCTCCAAAGCTGCACACCCACCCCCACTCACCACCGTTCACCCCCGACCCCTACTACCCGGCCACCCCACACCCTGTCTCTTATACACATCTAGATGTGTATAAGAGACAGGTACAGATGTAATCTAAAGAATTCTCAGTTACCC